TTAAGGAAAATTAGATTACTATTATTAATCACAGTGAGATTAGAAGTGAATATTTTTTCTCCATCTCTTTTTCCTTGTAAATCTTTCAGTCTAGGGTTTTACCGCATCAGAAGATTTGTCTACTGTTGCAATAAGAAAAGAGCAACATGCACAGTTGAACTGTTAATATTTTAGGCACAGAAAAACAGCTTTTGCTGCACAAAAAAATTGGAAACACCAGTAGAACAACGACAATAGAGCACAAAGTGGGTGAATCAGAGCGCGAAAATGGCATAGCGAAGTATTATAATGCTCAAAGACGGCAATAAATGAAAAGATATACAGTATAACCTCTCCTTGCGGACACCTCTATAATACGGACACCTCTCTATTACGGACAGTTCGTTGGGTCCCAGAAATGCCAAAAATCATACATTCCTTAACTCTATAATACGGACACCTCTGTAAAGCGGACACTTGGTTCTGTCCCTTTGGTGTCCGTATTAAAGAGGTTTGACTATAAACAACTGGTTTCTCAAAGCCTTGAGATAAAAGTAGCAAAAGATTTTTCCTAGTTGAAATAATTACAAGATCAAAGAATAAAAACAAAGACTACCGTATGCACGAGGGGAGAATTCCCCAAAAGCCACGTGTGCACTGCTCTCCCCACCCCACCCCTGCAAAAAAGATCTACAGGGAGGGGACGGAAAATCTGTACAGTTCGATCCTCGCTCTTTGTAACGAGGTACGAAATACGGAAGCCCAACCTCGTCCCCAGGGCATCCCCTTCCATTTTTAAAGGAAAAAGCCCTGGGCCGAGTTGTTCAAAGCTGGGTTAAGATAACCCCGGGTTAGTACGAGATTTGAATTCAGATTTGAAAGCTTAGAAAGCATTTCAGTTTTAATTCCTTTTGTCTACAAGTTGATAATTGGAAGCTCTAAAAATAGCACAGAAAATTATCCGAGAAAATGCTTTTGAACACAAGAAAAAGAAACGTGGGTTAAATTTAACCCCGGGTTAAGCACTGAATCGGCCTTCTAACAACTGGGCCCTGGAGACCAGGTTGATGGAAGCTTTTCATTATATTCAATTAACTAGAAAGACAAGTCTCGCAAATACCTATCAGCTATTTCTTTTTAGACCACTGAATTACGAACGTGTTTTATGAGGAGGATTATTTGCAATGCAACTGCATGAAAAGGAAAGGGAAATAAATTAATGGACACCGTATCTACAACCTAACACAGTTTACACTACTGTGAGAATGCCACTTGCTTAAATTCCAAGTTTATGTACAGCGGATCTGCGTTCATATGCCTACTGTAAGGCCATGAGAATGTGGCCCTCACATTGCAATAAAAATGCTTTTTTAAACCGTGTATGGAATGAGAAGTTTTGATTCTGACTATGAATCTGCTGGACTTCAGAAATACTTATAATTCAGTGGCGGATACAGGGGAGTGGCCTGGGGAGTCCCCCCCACCCCTTATTTTTAGACCAAAATGAGGCCTGAAGGGGCCGAAAACAAGTTTTGGAGACCGCCCCCTCCCTTATCTCAGGGTCTGGGTGACTGCCCCCCCGCCACGCCCTTCAGTCAAGGTCTGGATCCGGCACTGTAATTTATCTCTTAGCTATCACTTTTAACGACCTCAAAATAGTAAACACTATCGTTTGACAGACTGATAGCTGTTAGCACTTGCGGTACTTACTCAAAAAGAGAGAGCGCCGTAGCCCGGGGGTGCTCAACAAAGTTTTATACGGGAGGTCCAACCCCTTACCCTTTTAAATACCATTTTTGATACACTTGACCATTTTTTTGTATACCTACTATTGACAAATGGTACCCTTTTCATATACCTCGTTTAGAACTTGCATCCCTTTTAACTGCTGTAAATGCATCGTCTTTGAAGTAAGAATAAATCACAAAACCAGAACATTTTCTTGACAGGTGTGTTTTCAAAAACCAATTTGAAAGCGGAGGTTTCTGAGAGTTTTGGAAAATTAATCTAGATTAACTTTTTCAGTTTGTCTACGTGGCATGAAATTGAGGGCAGTGTTTAATGCAATCTTTCTTCCTTCAGCTTTGCTTTTAAAAAAAAAAAAAGAAAAAAAAAGCGAAAGAAGACGCAAGGGAGCGACGTAATAAAAGTAGCTTTGCTTTTTAAAAAAAAAAAAAAAAAAAAAGCGAAAGTAGACGCAAGGGAGCGACGTAACAAAAGTTAGGTTTTCAGGCCTTTATCCCTTCCTAATCCAAATAAATGAAAACGATAACAATAATAGTAATCAGAATTTTCTTTGTGAAAAAAAACCCTAAAAAATTAATAACGATGGATTGTTGATCGGACGATGTGGCGTTTACTTACGGCGGCGCTCTTTAGAGTAAATACAGTACCCGCCGGTACCCACCAGGAATTCAACTTGACAATGTGTACAGAAGATAACAACAGAGGACTCCAAAAGGTGATTGTTACGTGTCGTTATGGAAGTTAGACTACGAGCCAGTCTCTCTCTTCTCTTAGTCGGTCGAGTGAAACGCGCAAGACACGAATATGACTTGCGTGTGACTGAAGGTGCGAGACAAGAGAGGCAAGAGCCCTCGTTTCTCGCGTCTTCGATGTTCGCGCGCGCTCGCGCGTGCACTCCCCTCACTAAATCTAAAGAAAGAGAGAGACTGTTCGTAGTCTATAAGGAAATAGATATCGAGTGGACATCAGCTGGGGCCAGAAATTAGTCATCACTAAAACTGAGTGGTCATTAAGCAGAATTGAAATTTTCACTACAAAAAGTAATAATTTGTTGGACTGCAGAACATCATTGTAATAATTGTTCGATTTGATTGGCAGAGGACAAAGTCCCATTGTTACATGCCAGAGCGCGTCTGCCTCAAGGGTGGAGTACCTGAGGAGCTGTGTGGTGATTCAGATCTCCCAATGGGTCCCCCGAGAGGTTTTTGCTCCATCATCTGCTGAAATGCTATATGTGGTGGAGGAGATTGTTGGATCATTGGATTAGCTTGTGGGCGAAGAGGCTAAAGGAAAAGAAAGAAAAATGGCGTAATCAACCGGCACACCAATGACCGAGAAAAGTAGCCTGCGAGCAAGCTGTCCAATTATCGCGAGGAAAGCGAGCCGCGAGAGAACACGCGAGAGAGCGGTGAAGCCGCAAAGGATTTCTTTCCCTGCACCCCGTACTCCCGTCTACTTTTGCGAGCGGCGCTCGCGTGAACTCTCACGAGATCGACACGCGTGGAGAGCTTGCTCGCAGAGTATGTGAAAAGCAGTAGCAAATACCAAATGCCCTAAAAAGCTAGGACTCCCAGAAAAGATGGGCATCTTGTCATGCGGCTTTTTATGGTTCCTAGCCAAAATACCACAATTAGTTTTGATTAGGACAGGCCCAGCCGTCAATAATTTTAAAAAAAAATGCTGCTTCACTAATTCTCGCACTCGCGCTACGCGATTCTTGTAGCGCATGATGCGATTCTCTTCGTGCAGGAAACGAGACGTGAATGGTTACTTAGTTTTGAACGGCACTGTATGGTGGCTTTACCAATAAATTGTCATACAACCCTCTTTCTGTACCGCAGAACACATACACAGTAGGACCTAGGTTGCACCCTGCTATTTAGCGTTTGCTTGCACTTTGCACCAAGAGTAGTTCCGGAAAGTCATTAGTAGCGGGATTACTAAATTAAAATCGGCCAGCTACTCTAAGTTGAAATTCAGTCAAACTGGACAAAAATCGGAGAGTTTATGGGATAAAAAACCGGTTACTCTCCCCGAGAGACCAGCAACTTGAAATGTTAATAATGACAGCCCTAGCAGTTTTTTCTTTTTTCTTTGGAGTGTTTTGGATTTTGGGAAGTTACCACTTTTGAAGACACGGCACCATGCCAGGTACAAGGCAGGAAAGCGTAAATTCAGTGAACAAATAATAGAAGGACATGCGACGTCTCCGTCAGCCTCAACCTTTCAAGTACACTTACCTGCGGTTGAATTGGTCGCACCATGGGTTTAATGAGTGGAGGAGGACCTTGAAGTCCACCCGGGTTTGACCTTGGGACTCCCGCCTGAGGTTGTAAGGGGGGAGGATGCCGCTGACCCTGTGGTCCTGAGGGTTTCAACAGTGGGGGTGGTTGACCTGGAATGCCTAACAGGAAAAGAACCATTATTGTTAGTGGTGGTGCGAATGGTTTCCTTTGATCCTTACATTTTGACAGTTGTGAACTTTCATTTACAGAAATATATGTTGTGGTTCAATTTTGTCTTTGGTTTAAATCTCATTTCCTTTTGTTTTGAGGTATGGTAATGTATGATAATGAGTTTGAAACAATGAAGAATAAAATTTAAACCAAGGATAAAACTGAACCACAACATATATTATGACTCTTCCAAAAAGCTCATGCACTCTCCCATTTTCAGAACTATGAGAACATACAGCCAACTCTTTGTTAATGGACACTTTGGTAAAACGGACACCTGGACATCTCTCTAAGATGAACACTTTGTGGCAGTCCCAAAGGTCTGTGTTTTAAAGGCAGTTGACTGTATGTGGTTTGTAATGGTTGTTGTTCAGTCAACATTTTAGCAGTAGCTGAGACTGTGGAGCCCAGGAAAAAAAGCACCAAGTAACACCCCCAAAAAACTGTTGCTGTACGTTTGCTCGTGGAAGATAGGGAGAACGTATATTAGATCAAGAGTCATTCATGGCCCTATTTCATTCACATCTTCATAAATTCATTGATATCTATATTTTGGAGGGTGGGATGACTTCTTCAGAGAGAATGCTCACGGGGAGGGGGGTTATTGGAGCCAAAAAGAACTGACCCTTGGAGGGAAAGGATCGAAAAGCTCTAACCTGACTGGGAGGGGAGTTTATAAATTTATTGATCTCTATATTTTGGAGGGTGGGATAACTTCTTCAGAGAGAATGCTTACAGGGATGGGGGTTATTGGAGCCAAAAAGAACTTACCCTAGGAGGGAAAGGATGGAAAAGCTCGAACCCGACTAAGAGGGGAGTTTTTATCTATATTTTGAAAGGTGGGATGACTTCTTAAGCAAGAAGCTTCAGCGGGGGTTCTTGGAGCCAAAAAGAACTTACCCTGGGAGGGGAAGGACGGAGAAGCTCTGTCCTGACTGGGGGAGGAGTTTCCACTGCTACCAGCTGGGGAACCTGACATGTGCAGCACCTGCAAATCATCGTCTTTTCTGTCACTGCTTGTGATTCCCTGTTCAGCTTCGTATTCTTCAAGAACTTGCTGTAGATTGAAACGTCTCTTGTAGTTGACAAAGAAATTGCGGCACTGACTCACACTCTTGTTCCCTAACACCTCAGCCATGGCTTGGAAGTCTTTTCCATAGCGTCTGACAGCTGTTGAAATGTATATAATTAACCCTTTAAGCCTCAAGAGTGACCAACATCAATACCCAGACATCATCAAGAAAAAAGATTAAATTATTAAAATGATTGATGACCAAAGGAGAAATGCTTGGCTCCTTTATCAAATTCTCTCAACTACTTCTTTAAGTGAATAATGGAGACTAGTTTGAAGAATTTGTATGTGGATATTAGGGCTTAAAGGTTTCACAAAGTCAGACCTGCAGCAAGTTCAGGTTAGAGACAAGGAAAGACCCAACAGGTATAGTTGGCCCTCAACATCAACATAAAGATAATATAAAAAAAAGTAACAGTGATATTCACAGAAGCAAAAAAAAGCTAATAAAATGAGGTTCAAATTAAGGAAGGGAGGAAACAAAGAAAGCATACCAAAAGAAACTCTCCACTATGTATTTATCGTCATATTTTGTGAGAAAAAGGCTTGATAACAAAGTCCTGGTGGACAACTTGTTAAGCAAACAATGAACTATCCCATTCTGACGTCTACATTGCATTTTATCCCTGAAAAGGGACACGTGGCCAGAGCTACCATCTGTCAAACTGAGATCCAGTACTTTGGTCACATTATTGCTTACAGTCTTGTGACCATCACCAATTTCATGGCTGTTTTAATATTAACTTTGTGAGTGTGATACATACATTGGACGGCTAACAAAAGCTCTTCATTTGACCATCTGGCATTATTCTTGATATTTTGCTAAAAAAAAGGAACAGGAAAAATAACACTCAGTTAATTCGTAATTAACAGGAAAAGTAACAGAATAGCTAACAGCAATGTGGAGGTGAATGCATCTCATCATCATCATCACTATCAGTTCATCATTATCACCACCATCATTATCACAAATCATCATGACATTATCAACTTCATCTTCATCGTAATCATCACCTTTACCATCATCATCATCATCAAAACTCATCATGAACATCATCATCACCACCACCAACATCATTCTCATCATTATCATCCACATCATATGCATCTCACTTTACGTAAGTTTATAATTTATGAAAGTTTACATGTAACGCTTATGTTTCAACCATTGTTCTATTTTTTTTTTCCTTTTCCCTAGTTGATGGCATTGTCAATGTTTCTATGTTACTTTGCAATGTTTTTCTGTCGCTGTAATCTAAATAGTGTACATAACAATTTGTTTGGATATTTGGTGTTTTTTTTTTTTGTTTTTAAGTAATTTGTTGACTTTTTTGCAGTGTTTGTCCACCATTATACTGTGAAAAATTAATAAAAGCTATTAAATTACAAAAAAATCATCATCACCATCATAACACAATGCACTGTGACAATAGAACTTGAACAAAAATGCACTCTTTTATCATCCCCCTGTTGCCAAGGATCACAAATTATATGGTGCAGTTACAGTGTAATTTTACTTACATCTCCTGGTCTCACAGCTTCAATTCCATTTTCAATCTGGGACTTATGCTGGCCTATCGACTGTTTGTTCATCTGTACCTGTCTCTTAAGGTTCACCATTTCCATCTCTAGAGGTCGCACATGGCTATCACCATGGGTACCAGACACAGCAGTTAGGTACTCTTGTGACAAAACCATTCCCTAGAAGAATCAATAAAATTTAACGAGTTAGGCCACATAAAGCCACGAGGAACTGACCAAATAATAGACCCTTTACACGGTTTTTCTCAAGTTTTGATTAAGACCAGTAACTGAATACTACTGGAAAGAGCATCTTAACCCTTTAAACCCTAAGATCAAAATTTGAATTCTCATATGTTGCCCCTATTCATTTCCTAAATACGTAGTGGGGAGAAGTTGATAAAATATCAAGCAAATACTTCTTGTGTGATCATGTCTGTAATTCTCATGACCACTCTGTTTTACAAAGCATTGACATTACAAGGAGAAATTTGATGCTGATCACTCTTAAACCTTAAAGGGTTAAAATAATAAATTATTAGTAAGTTCAAAGGTGATACGTCCAATGCGAGTGAAGATAATATTGCTCCATAAATGAAATTTTACAGATGTTTGTATGGTGGGGGGCATGAACTTGCCCCCCACCATACAAAAATCTGTAAAATTATGCCGCTATATCTTTTATTAGTTTTCAACGAATCACTTTCAAATTGGCAACTTTACTGACTTTAAGGATTTTTTTTCAGCCATGTCGATGGATTTTTGCTAACTGGTGCCAGTCACGCATGCGTTGAAAAAACTGTGAAACGGTCAATTGAATGGAACAAAATAACCACTTAAACCAGTGAAAGGAGACTTTATTTTGTAGGTAATACAAACCTTTGGAGCCTTCCGTTTAACTTTATTTCCCCTGTGGCCAGGCCTAGCTTCCTTTCCTTCATGTCTTGGTCGTAGTGTTCCAGTTCGTCTGCAAATAAGACCAGACTTGATAAGTGTGGCAAATCAAAATGTACTTTCACACATCTTCTTTGAAGGTTGAACAGAAAATAACATGCCCTGATATTTTGCAAGTTGTGCAGTTTTTTTTCTGAATGGACCTCACAGAGGGGCTAGCCTCCCACGCAGACGATCTTAGGTCTTTGTCATTTGTCTTTCTGTCCGACAAACATCTTTTAAAATGAGCGGTTACAAACATAAACCAATCACAGCACACTCTTTACTCAGGTGCAACCTATTTGTGGATAAGTAGGGTAGTTGTAAAAACCTATATAACATGTCTGTGCAAAAAACTTACAGAGAATCAAACGATGTTACATGCAGATGATACTTTCTACACATGTAAGTCAACTACTTGACCTTTCTTAGACAATACAGGTCACCTTAGAGGTGTACCTTAAAAATTGATAACAAGCACTGCACAAGTTTCCTTTCTGAGTCGCATGAAGTTGCAATGATTGGGATTGACAGTTAACACAAGGACCTGAAATGGTCGCTGCAGTTGTTCCCTAAAAAATAAATGACAGTATAACAATGGCATTATTAAGGCATAACAGTTGAAGAAAAATAATACATACAACAAAATAAACATAAATCACAATGAAACATAATAAGAAGACCTAGTAAAGGTGATTAGAGTGGACTGATTAATTTTCAAGATCATTTTGTTTGTATACTTACTTGCATTGTAGGTGGTTTGGTTATTAACTTCGGTTTAGTCTGGCCATTTGTTTGTCTTGTTTGCTGTAAAACATAAAGAAACAAAATTATAAGGCACATCTAAATGATCGCACAACATTATGATCCCACATAGCATTAATTTAATGCCTTTTTCCCCAACATGTTCAAATTTACTTTCATCTGATCTACAATATTCATTCAATCCAACATATTTTCTGGAGGTTATTTTTCCTGATTTTCACTAAATCTGTAATTGTTTAGCAGAAAATGAAGGACAAAAAGTTGAGTAAGCATGGTCCGGGATAAAACTTAACCAAGAATGTTTTGGTGTATGACATTAATTTGCTGTGTACTAACTCTTCCCCCTTTTGCCAAGGAAAGTTTTTCTCTTTTTCCTTGGTCCATTGTAAACTTTTCTGATGGCTGAAAGATGACTTTTCAGTTTTTTTTTCCTGTGAATAAAGCACTGTTACATTGCCGTGTCATTTTTGGGTAAACAAATAGTATTCAGTGTGTGAGAATAACATTTACTGAGCCAGTAAAAAGTCAAAATGAACAGCATTGAAGAAACTTTACCTCTTTTTCAGGTTCAAAGTCACTATCACTTGAGTCGCTATTGTCACTTTCTGGATCACTGGTTCAAAAAGATATTAACAAAGTGGTAAGAAAAATACTGTACACACTATAAACAGTACTAAATTATAAAAAAGTCATTCATCTGATCTTCACCTTTGAGGATGATGATTGAAAGAAAACACTTTTCTGCCAAAATAAAATGGGAGGCCCTTAATAAATTTGTATACTGTTAGGATTACTTTCCAAAGTCGGGGCTTCCAAGAAGACAAAACTCACTTGACTGGTTCTTTTTGAACAGCCATTTTCTTTGCTTGTCTATCAATCAAACTTGTCCTACTTCTTGTTTTCTTCCATGAATAGTAATACTTGACCAGAGTGGCAATTGATTTATCTGGTAACTGACAAGAAAAAAAAGACAAAGGTTTCAGAAAAAACAAGTTTTGAAATGCACTCAAATAACTTTATTACTATAATTAGAGGAGGTGTAGTATGTCAATTTTTTAATATTGTAATTTAGAATGCATTACAATCCATTAGTTCAACAAAAATGCCAAGAAATGCATGTGCTATGATTAGTTAGTCAGAATGATTCTCGGGCATTATATTTCTGTGAAGCATGTGTGTCACACACATGCTTTACAGAGATATTCAAGCATGCAAGCTACATCACCAATAATTCATTAACAATTTTATAAAAATATAAAGTACATATGACTTGGTAATTACTAAGACAACACTCAAGAAGTGTGCGAAGCACTGAAAACCTAATTGACAACTCTCTCATATCTTTAATAATCTACATGCTTATCTAGCTCAACAATGCACTCATCCCATTTTTTTATTTTGTACTATGGCCATGTCTGGTATTTTTCCATCTTAATTTCACCCAACCACTTGTTTGAAGTTCCTTCAATTTGAAAGTAATTTTGCACATTACCAATTAATGGCTCAAAATAATTAATAGTGACAGACTTCCTTTCAAGTGCTCAACAATGTCAATGATGTGCTTACTATTTGCTGAATTCGTTTGAAGCTTTTTCCATGAGAACTGTAAGCTTGTTCAAACAGGATCTTATCTTCCATAGTCCACTCATCTAAAATGAAAGTAGTTAAAGTTAACTCAAGCAGTCACCTTTTGCATTGTAAATGGTAAATGCTTTGTTTACAGTGGAAGAGTACTTGGTTGTGACAAATGTTAATAAATTGATTGATTGATTACCTGGGAATGGTGTAAAGTTAGCCAAATCAGTTAGTGATTTCTCAAGGTTATGCTTGTGCCAAAACAACATTCCTAATGCCTGAAAATGACAAAACATTAATTTTATTATACGTTACACTTAAAATAGCAAAAGCCTTTAAATTGCATGATACATGTACAGCATGTATGCTGTAACATTACACACCCACGATCACTATTCACTGCATCAATACACAGCAGATATGTGAGAAAATACATGAACAAGGCAAGTGGAAGCGTGTACTGGCCGAGCAGATAACATTGCAAAATCCGAATCTGGCAGTCTGGGGTTCAAGCCTCGCCTGCCGCGTTGTTTCCTTGGGCAAGGAACTTTACTCCACTTTGTGTCTCTTCATCCAGGTGTATAAATGGGCACAGGCAACATACTGCTGGGGGGAGGGTAACCATGTGATGGACTGGCATCCTGTCCAGGGGGAAGTAGCAATACACCTAGACATGCTTCATGCTAAGGAAACCAGGATAAGCTCCAGCCATGTGGGCCTTTGGCTCGTATGCCCCTTAAACACACATGTACAAAATGTACATGTATTTCACTGGCTAATTTCAACACCCCTTTACAAAACACTGGCACCCCTTGGTTCATTCTATGACAATCCCTCCCAGAAAAAAACTGGTGACATTTCAGTAACATCCCAGATCAGTTCAACAGCATTTACACATCTGTACAGATTTAAACATGTAGATCTACATGTATTTAACCTTTTCAAACTTAATAGAGGTCTATGAAAAAAAATTCATAAAAATTATATATTTAAATTTGCATTTCTTTACTAAGATCCAAGAATAGATGTTGAATCTAAAGAATTCACAGTCCGAATACATTCATCATCAGATCAAAACTTACGTCAACTCAAGTTATGACAGAGATCTTTGGGACCCGCTAAGATTATCTAAGATTGATGTCCGTCTTATAAAGAGTAAAGTAAAAGGGGTAAAGAAAGTCAGGGACCAACTTTACGTGTCTAGCGTTTTACCGAGGTGTCTGTCTTTCAGTCAGGGCTTCTGATAAGTTGCGGAAAAAACAGTCAAATTTTGCGGGATTTTCAGAGACAGATTCACGGAAAAATCAGCTGAATTCACGGAAATTTTTGACGCTAACTTCCCCAAAAAACAATCGGTTAAAAACGGCCGATTTCGTGGGAACTTTCTGGGCAAATTTGATTTACCTGAATTCCGCGGCTCTGTAACCGCGTGAAATATGAGAAGCCCTGTTTAGTGTTGTCTGTTAAGAAAGAGTTAACTGTAAACCTGAAAATTTGGGTTTTTTGATCTATGTACTTGCTTAAGCAGGGACAGAACCTATGGTAATCTTAGTTCCACCCTTAAATTGTGCACTTTATTAACTGCTTGTGAATGTACCTGTTCAACGTTGTACCCATGCTTGTCTTTAGCAACCAGCACATAGTCATCCACTAAAAGGTGAAACACAAAGCTATGTGAAACTTTAAGTCAGTGTAATGGCAAATCTCAAAAACCGTGTCCGAATTTACAAGCACGATTTCCTAGACAATGGGCAAATTTTAGTCAGATACTGTCCAATGACCAATACAGCCCTGTAATCCCTTTTTTCTCTCCATGTGTCTGGGTCACCTTCCGTGCAGGTGGAAGTGTTTTTACTTGTGCGCTCATACATATGCTCACTGTAATATTATCAAGCATGCTTGCACATTTTGGTTGTGAACTGGGGGCTTACATGACATTTCACTAGCTGGGATGTAGAGTGCCTTGTGAAGAAGAGAAGCAGATGCTAAGAAACCAGGTGAAAAGGAAAAGGAGTTTTACTGCCTGACACACAGACAAGCTGTAGCTAGCATGTACTAGCCCAAAAATCATTTCAACCAGCACCAAAAACAACAATGAGCAGGACTGATTGCAGCTCTTCTGTGATTTACATTCCCAGAAAAATGTCACTTGCCCTTCAGGCAAGTTAAGAACAGAACTCATTAGCCTGACAGCAGAATCCACTAGCCCCAGGCTAACAGACACTACTTCCTCTACACACTGAGTAGACAATATAAGGGTACACTGTAAATGATCTAATTTATTGACACCCCTTCTCAAAAAAACGCCTGTTGTCTAAAAAATGCCCCCTCTACAAGGCAAAGTCTGTATTAAATGCCCCTCTCTAATAAACACCCACAAGAGAGTTACACCAAAATACTAGGAATTAGCAAAAAGGAGAAAATCATTCAATTTATTTAGTTTTTTGCTTGATGAATGTGCATTGCATCTTGTTTCATGTCAAGTTCAAAGTAAAGATAAAGTCAGGATGACAACACAATAACCCTAAAATGAGGATTCTGATAGTGAAATTGAGATTTGAAAGAGTGAAATGGATCTCTACACAGCCCAGATGTAGACATTGATGGACTGGATATTTTGCTATTAATTTACAAACTCTCTGGATATGTTCATTGATAGTATATTAGTTTTGAAGAGGTCGCAAAAAAGAAAAGAAATGCCTTTCTCTTTTAAATGTCTCCTGAATGTATCTATTTAACACTCCCTCTCAGATTGTTAAAAGTAAATCAACACCCCGCATGTCTTTTTGATCATTTATGCTATAAGACTGTATTAAATAATAACACCCACATTTTGAATTTGGGATTTCCTCTACAGGTGCCCAAACAAGAAGTGCATTGTGCCGAAGGTTTGGGTCATGCTTGGCCTCTTCTTTGTCTGAATAAAAGAGAAACAAAAGATCCATGAATAATAGAATAGAGTTGTTTATTCAGAACCCCTTGCAGCTAAGAGCTGGATAACAGGATTGTGTGCAAATTACACATAATTAACATTTAACTTATGACAAAAAATCTAAATACTTCACAGATACAAATTCTAACAATCTTTTTGTCTTACAAATTTTGTTATTATAGTTCCGGCAGCTTCGTAACGAGTACGAGTGAATGGTAGTTACCTTCCACTCATGGCAAGGCCAAACACAGAGTTGGATAGTTTTAAATTACGTATAAATGATTCGCAAGCAGCAGCCCTACGGTCTTCTAAAAACGGCAGGCCACTTAATATCAATGCCTCATCATAATGTACATTTGGAAGAATTATCCTAAGGGCGCGCTTTTGAATTCCCTCCAACGCATCAGACATACATTTTGGCACCTTTTGGACTACTTTCATACGTTACTAATATGAAATTTGAGGACTGGTACTTGTGTTTCACACAGTGTAAGTGACCAAAGACTAGTTATCTAGATACTCATAACATTACACTGAGGATTTTTTATCATAAAATTGAATATGAAAGTAAATGATAATAAAATCATTATCGTTACTATTATCACCAGAGATGTCCTGCTAGGGTAGAATTCCAGCAAGGCTTACGGCCTTGAAGAAGCGACAAAAGACAGAGGAAATAACAACAAAAAACACAAAGATGGGTTACAATGAAATGACAGGTCAGAGGCATCTTAACCACCCCCCTGCCCCCCCCCCCCACTTCGCCTGGCCCCCAAGAGGCCCCATCAGGTCATTCAAAAATATTTTCCCAGAACTCTCATCCCTTCCATCCACTTATTGTCAACCAACAATTGCAACTTGACTTCAGCGTTTTCACCAAAAAATTCTTACTTTGGAACTACTACAGAAATGTAAGTGCGTTTAGAAGTGTATGACATGTCTTGGCTTCTAAGACAGCGAAACTGACATCGGAAAAATGAACGGCTTTAAAGTTACACAACATAAAAGCCAAGAAGCTCGAAATTTACAACTTTAAGAACCGCAAAGACACGAAACCTGCCTTGATTTAAAATACAATTTTTTAAAAGCAGCTGCGATATAAAATGATTTTCCATAGCGAGGCTTGAAAGGAAAGTTAATGTAGGATATTTATGCGCGCGTCGCTCGCCGGCCGGTAATTGAAATACTCGAGCTCGTTGTACGTAAGCCAATTATTCGACCCTTAAGGTAAGAAATTCGCCACAAACTGCAAGGTGAAATAATTACCGATGCCTATTTTCAGGAAAGGACTAAGATAATTAATCATAACAGAGCCTATTGGTTTAATTTGCAACTTACTATCTGAAACAAGGTCGGGAATGACGGCTTGGTATTCTTCTCCGACTCGCATACCGGGTTCTGTTGGTAAAATGTCAGAAACAGCGATTATTTCCGTACCACGGCGTTTCCTGGATAAGAGCAGATTTCCCTAAGTACATCATTTGTGTCATTTGAACTCTAACCGTGATATTCCCCATCGCTATCGCTTCCCGTCTTGGACACGTGTTGATTGTTGTCAATCTCCATTTCATCTTGCCCGTCTTTCTTCCCATCCACTTTCGGATGAGCCATGATCGACGTTCTCGTTTCCGAAGCCATGGAAAAGACTTTACAGATTCTTAAGACACTAAAACTACAGGGATAAGTTCAAGGATGGCTAATACCGGCTTAAAAGACGGTGCCCGTGGAAAATAAAAAGAAAAATAAAGCGATTTTCCCACTTTTCCAAGATGAACGGCAAAGCTTGGCCTGACGCAAAACAGCGTAGGTCACGTGTTAAGCTTCACGGTAATTTATGATAATTTCGCGCTAGATAAATTATACTGGAATGTCTTACCTACCTCTCAACGACTCCTTCCGGTATTGAGGATGTCCGTTCTTATCTGTTTAGAATCAATTCATAAATTTTAAAAAATAGAATGTTCCGGTGATTGCATCTCAACACAGGCCCAAGAAGTCACAATAAGTTCTTCAATCTGTTCAATATGACGATATTATATTAGCCGTGGCTAGAGGAAGTGCCATGTCTATCCGTACCTCAACCAGTTGCCTAGCGCTTTTGATAAACCACATGCCGTTCTATGTAAATGCCTGTCAAACATTGATCAACACCGAAAAAAAAAAGCGGAGAAATATTTTACGCTGTAAATTATTCAAAGACGCAATGGGAAATTCATCACAGCAGAAAGGCAGTGCAATTTTCGCAAATACCTAACTGATATTAGAAGCAATATGTAATTGAGTACTTTTTGGAGAGCTCCTAGTAGTAAATAATTTATTTGTAAAGATGTGTCTGGTGTACAGATACCTTGAGGGATTAAACAATGCAATAAAATGAATCTACCTCGGTGAAAAAAAAAATCGAACTTTATGTTACACTCAAATCCGAGGAAAGAATTTACTACGAGTGAATTCTAGAAACTTTCAGGGCATATCAAGTATTCTAGAAAACAACCTGAACCGGAAATGAATCCGCTACAGAAATTTATCAAGAACCGCGGAAAAAATGTTCCCCTTCACGTAGGATTCAATGATTCGCGTATCAATTCCCAGACCAAGAGTGAAATGCCTTTTGTTTTACAATTCGAAAGTAAAGAATACTTTTCGAGCAGGGCCAATAGAGTTTCTATAGTCACGAAATTTCTAGTCATGTCGCTTTAAATGTCATTTCAGAGTGGACGCGGCGTTAGAAGGTGGATGACGAGGTTTGGGGAAAATGAACGTGAAAGAGGACACTAAAGTATAAATCTAAATTGAATATTAAATAATTGTGTGAAATGGTAAGGTTGGCCTACTTTGAGGTTAACAATTACAGTCATATTTACATCCCACCTCCTTTCATTCTCCTTCAAACTTCTGTTCAGCCGACAGCTACGTTTTCATGTACGATCGAATTCTTTTTTAACTGTCCCGTCGATGGCTTCTCGCGAAGTTTCCGTCGTTTTTGTCGAGCCTCCAGCCTAACTGGTAACCATCCGCTTATCCGCCTGTCCGTGTGTATTTATGAAGTCATATATTTTAACATCCACATGTGTGCATGTATGTAAATTTCTCGTGGTATTCAATGCCATTCAAGCGTGACCAAAAATCACGTGTCAATTTACATCTGAAAGCCCTGATTGGCGAATATTAGCGCTTGGATGATCTTTCAAGGAAACAAGCAGGTAATGAGTTTATACCGATATCCTGAACTGATTAAAGGATTTAACTGAATAGTTTAACGGAACAGTTTTTTCACTGAGACTTTTTTGAAAAAGTTTTTGAAAAAAACTCCACTAAAACTGTGAAATCAATGTAGTTGGAAATCTTCGGTTGGTTTTCGGTCATGTTCGGTTTTCCTTCGGAAGTCCCCTTCAATTTCACCACCGAGTCAGAATGATAAGCACGACTTTTTCACTGTGCACCAGTCAATAAAAGCCCCGCCTGCCCCGGACGGGACATGGGTGGTGGTGGGGATAGGCCACAAGTTGCCTCAAGCCTCTGTTTGAAAGCAATGCTAAGTACGAAGCCATTGACATGAAAAATTTTTTTTTCTATCCTCAAGCAAATAACACTCATTTTCTTAAGAAAGGTTTTGTACAGCTCATGTTTGTACTTAGCCTGGTTTTGAAAGTGAAAGTTTTTAGAACTCGGGATTGGCCTGTTAACTAGCCCTCACTGCTTGCGTTGTAAAATGCTCCGCACCTCAAGGACATTAATAGGCCGCGTGGCAGGCGTTAAAAGAGGAAAGGGGTAGGGGGAAATGAGGCGCGCGAGAGCGCGCGGGTGCGCGAGGAATTCCCCTTGCCCCCTCTTCCCGCGTCCCTCGCGCTCCTCGCGTGCCCGAATTCCCCCATCCCTTTTTCCTTTAACGCTTGCAGCGCAGGCTAGGCCATTAATACCCCATCCTTTTGTCAAATTAAAACGATAAAAATATTAATAAACTTTATTCAATGGTACTTCAACTGATCTGATAGTCTCTGATTTCCTGACACAGTCAATTTTTATTGCAGTCAGTTATCAACAACTAATCTCATATCCAACTAATTTTCATCGTCATCATTGTCGTCGTCATCGGATGNGTTTTGAAAGTGAAAGTTTTTAGAACTCGGGATTGGCCTGTTAACTAGCCCTCACTGCTTGCGTTGTAAAATGCTCCGCACCTCAAGGACATTAATAGGCCGCGTGGCAGGCGTTAAAAGAGGAAAGGGGTGGGGGAAATGAGGCGCGCGAGGAATTCCCCTTGCCTCCTCTTCCCGCGTCCCTCGCGCTCCTCGCGTGCCCGAATTCCCCCATCCCTTTTCCCTTTAACGCTTGCAGCGCAGGCTAGGCCATTAATACCCCATCCTTTTGTCAAATTAAAATGATAAAAATATTAATAAACTTTATTCAATGGAACTTCAACTGATCTGATAGTCTCTGATTTCCTGACACAGTCAATTTTTATTGCAGTCAATTATTAACAAATAATCTCATATCCAACTAATTTTCATTGTCAGCATTGTCGTCGTCATCGGATGATCAGTTAACTACCACGTTATTAATTCCCTTCCAAAATTGCACATCTTTAAACAAGTCGTCTCGTTGGAGAACGATGCTCACGATGAAGTAAACTTGGCCACAAAGCAACGAGAACGGGCTACGAATGTCCCTTTTCTTCAATGCGCCGGCAACGAAACCGCCAGCTGTACAAGCGAGTAAAAATTTTAAAAAACTCGAGCACGTCACAGAACTCTTCACTGGTCAGGAAGCTATCCTGTGGCTTCATGGGTATCCTGTGTAACCAAGCAGGAAAGCGAAGAATACTTTGTGTCGCTTACACTCCATCAAACGCACTCCAATAATCTATCTATTCTACTTTGATTTAACTGTTCGAATAATACGAATAGTTTCCGTGATGGAGATAATTTTCGCAACCAGGAAAGAAATGTTTCTTTTCTTTTTAATTTCGTGAAACAGACGAAAAATACAAACGTTCATATAGAGTCTCTCATCCGTCAAGAACTGCCCTGTTTTTCGTCCAAGTTCATTTTACTCAAATCATTAAGTTGTTCCTCCTTTTCAGTATCGGCAGCGCTGGTTGAACTGACTTCATCCTCGTCTGGATTTCTTTTCCCCTAAGAACAAGAGAAAAGATCAAGAGAACCTTAACCTCACATCTGACTTATTATTAATTATTTTCGAAGCACATACTTAGTGAAAAACGACTGCGTGAGGACAAACGGGTTTCCCATAGAATAAGGCCTACAGCTTTTAAATTTAGAATGCATGGCCATATTTTTTTATAATGTGATATCCACACACACAGAAAAAGTTAAAACAAGTTCCCAAGTATTCCTTATTGCCTCGTTGGTTCGGCCCTCGGCCGAACATGCGTCGACCTCCAGCCGACTCCCGAAGCATTCCGCTGCACACGCACGAAAAAAAAACTTCTAGTGCCCAGGGAAAGCCTTTCTGTAGCTTGATTTAACGTTCGCGAGAGAACACAAGCGAGCGACAAAGCGTCTCCTTTCGCGTACCACTCGCGCGTGATTTTTTAAGAGGACTCCAAAATGGAGAGCTTACTCGCAGCTAACCGCTACGTGGCACTATTACCTTGCCATAGGGGAAACTATATCCCATATACTCTTACGGGTGCAGAGTTAGCTGTCTCCCCGAGAGATCTAGAAAGTTAACCTATCCCTGATGATGATGATGATGATGATGATGATGATGCTGCTGATGATGATGAAGATAATGACGACGACGATGACACACCAAGGTGAAAGGGGAATGCACATCCCCAGGAACAAACAGTGATACTCACCTTGTTTTGTGGAGCCGGTTTCGAGGGAGGCGTTTCCAATGATATTGTAACTGGACCGTCATTTTGAATGTGAACTTGCATATACGCTCCAAATTTCCCATCTAAACAGAAAAGAAAAGTTACTGCATATTATTATACAGAAATACAGGATGATTTAAGCCTAATTTTCACTTGCGTCACAGACACAAAGAAAGACACAAGTGAATTTGTGAACTTCCCATTTACTGGCCAGTTGTTTCCGTTTCCAGGAGATGCACAAGAAAGGGGCCAAAAAATTAAAGTGGGGTAGAGTAAGAACGTGGTTCTTGCTTCTACTTTTTTGCTCACCCTTGCGCACGTTTCCCGCGTTTCTCCTGTGGCGCTTAGCTAAAAGAAAACGGTACGCACGCTAACTATTTACATTCATTTTTGGCAAACTGGAAATTTCAGTCGGAAAATCAAACAGTTGGTGCCCTTCCGCTTAGGAAGCTTAAAATGGAAATACTTAGAAAGCTCATGGAAGAATCCCTACAAAATACTTTAAATGATTACAGTTGAACCTCTCTACAATGGCCAACTTGGGAACAGAAGAAAGTGGCCGTTGTAAAGAGGTGGCCGTTGCGGAGAGGCTAAAACAAGAGTCAATGTATGGATTTTTGTCTGCCGGGACGAAAAAAAAGTGGCCGTTGTAGAGAGTTGGCCATTAGCGAAGGTTCGACTGTATCTATAGGGAAAAGACTTCTAGAAATTTCTACCTTTAACCGCATCAACTCTGTATGTCGATCTCATGTGCTGCAGAAAATCTTGATAAAATGTCTCACTCTGATCTCCACCCATAGCTAAGTGATAATCTGGTTTATTTCCCTTGAGAACCGCTTGCAGAGTGAACTAATGAAACAAAATGATCACGCCTAAATCCGGGGTACTTTCCAATTGTTTACCATTAGATACCTTTTAGATTCTAAGACGAGAACGACTACGAGTACGAGATTTTCTCAATAAAAGGTAGTGCGCACGCGTGAGCCAGTATCATTAAGCTGATTTAGCAATAAGACGGGAACGTCAGTTGACGACGGGAAAGCGCGCGGAGAAGACTAAACACAACTTCCGGAGCCCAATTTGCCCCTCTGTCATTGTTTAAGCCAGTTGTTTGATTTGCGCGCGCCGTCGTCAACTGACGTTCCCGTTCTTTTGCTAAATCAGCCTATTTTGGCGGGAAAACGTGGTAGCCGTCGTCATTCTACTACGAGAATTAGCGAGAGTGTCGTAGTGGCGGAAACAAGTTATCAAATGCTAGAAGTTTCAGCATTTTGCTATCGGGAGAGGGCTCAACCTTCTTCAATAACGATAACAGTGCTAACTTTTCTGATGAAAAAAAGTACAATAAAGAATTCCGGGGTGTCTATTTTTTGACAATACGTGAAAAAACTTTAAATCAAATCTAGTACTCGTACTCGTTCTCTTCCTCGAATATAAAGGTCTCTATTAACATTAGCCTGTGAGCAGGCTCCTCTCCATTTAGGGGAGTCGCGAGAAGTCACGCGAGAGTAGCACGCAAAAGGAGACGCGAGCGCGAAAGGCTTTGCTGTTTTCTCGCGCGTCCTCTCGCGCGTCCTCTCGCGCGTTCTCTCGCACGTTCTCTCGCGGTTGGCTTCGCTCCCCATATAAAAATTAATGGAGAGTTTGCTCGCAGGCTACATTTACATGGGCTAACTGGTGGGTATACTGTTGGGCAAATGGTACGCAAAATCAGGACTGGTAAATTTCGCCCCAGAGTCACGTTTACCATTTGTACAAATCAGTTCCACTTACCAAAAAACGGTTGCAAAAGCCTGAAACTGGTATCAAGATGGCTTTGAAGAAATGGAACAAGAATTTCCATTCGGCAGCTAACAGAACTACCTTTTCAGATGTTTCCTTCCCCAACCCCTCATCCTTTTACCCTGTATAAAACTTTGCTGAGTACCTCCCCCCGCCAGGGGTAACACAGTTCTGTACGACAGGCCCTTAGTAATGAACCCGGTTGTTTATGTCTTAGGGACAGGTGACTGTAATGGCAAAGCTATTCTTAACAGTTAAACAATCTCTCTCTTAGTAAGGGTGCTTACTAAAAATCAGAAAAGGCCAAATGGACCGGTCATTTTGAAAATGAAATAGGCATTTCCCAAGAGTTTTCACCAAAACCCATCACTGCTGTTCAAGCTATTTAGGAATAGACTGTTATGGCTGGAAAGTCCTGACTAACAGTGAAGTTCTCCCTATGACAGCTGGTCTCACTGGCTAGTTGTACGTGTGTCTAACGCTAAGTGTCCCAAGTTTCAACTTGACATACAGGTGTAGTTAATAGTAATAATAATAATAATAATAATAATAATAATAATAATAATAGCAAGACACTTCTATAGCGCACGTCACATCCACTAGTTGTTCATGCAACTTAACAACAATATTTTAAACATAAAAAATGATCATCATAATAAAAAAAGGTACTGAATGTATGTAGCTCATACCTGACTCACACACAAAATTTCAAGATTTTTATCCACCACAGACTTTTTCCATCGTTGTCCATTGTCATCAAAGACCCTTAAGTTTAGAATTTTTCTCACCCTTCAAAAGACAAACCGGACCTTTCAGACTCCGTAATATTGTTAGTAGGACAGTCCATATAGAAAATTTATTTCTGGGTATTGTTTCTTTAGTTAGTTGATTTTTTTGGGTTAAGCATTCATCCAATAAAGCATAATAAAAAAAAATAAATGAATAAATAAACAAATAAATTAAGGGGAAGGGTATTCACATGGTGGTTCTTTGTCTACCATTCCAGGTTGAATTGGAATTTGGGAATGTTAGGGAGTGTTCGATTGACAATATTCCAGAATAAGAATGAATGGAATAAACTTCAAAAATCATTTGTTTGCATTTCAATGTCTGTAAATCTGCTTGAAATAATATATTCTGACATATGTAGTACTTAAGCAGTCCAAAAATCATGGTAAAGAGATTTGTAACAGTATGTTCAATCGAACTCACCCTTAGTTTTAGAGGAGAGGCAAATACCGGAGTAGCCAGACAAAAACCTCTCAGAGCAAGTAGAGAAGTTCAACAACAAACTCAACCCACATATAACATTCATGCCTTGATTTGAACAAGTGCCTTAATTGGTTGGAGGTGAGTGCTCTCACCACTGCGCCATTCCCTTGTTCCAAAGAGGTGATATTGTTACATTTTGACTCACATGTATTCAATTTCTTTTGAGGTGTCATGTTTAGATATTCCAACTAACACACAGAGTCCTTTTCCAATGGAGCTGATTACTTCACCATCAACTATAAAAAATTAAACAGATAAAAATGAGAAAATTATCTGATAATGAAAGATTTTGTAAAACATTTAAGTACAAAGTTAAGTAACGCAATAAAAGCATGAAGGTTTGGCAAAGACAAGTTACCATTAACAAATGCAAATTGCCAATGCTATTGCTATTATTTTGAGTGAATAAGGCACAAAAGAGTTCCACAAAAGGGAAACGATTTGGTTCAGTTCCTGCCACAATATTATTATATGTTGCGAATGAAAAGGGCTAAAGGGAGGAAGCCAAAAAAAGATGGGTGGGAGCCACGAATATTAGGTCAAGAGGAAGGAGGATTGGATCCCTGTTCTCCCTGCTCAATAGAAATGACCAGGGTGCTCTGTGAAAAAATTCAAAAACACCCTTTGAGGGCACCCAAGTCTTTTTTGTGGTCATGGCTCAAATTCATTTTCACCCTTAAGGGAAAGCAGGGTCATAGCTACCTGTGCGCCAGTACCCACTTGAGTACCTAAAAAAATGCTACAGACAGGAGCCCATCAACTGAAGCGTGCAACTCCTATTCCAGCCTATGCTCCCTATAATGGCCTTTATGGGGAGGTATGCCCGAGAGGGGTGCCTATTTCATGCTTCAGGAAAATGAAGGGGTAAGAATTTCACTAGTTAAAGTTTATGAAAGGGCAACGAAAAAATGTCATTTCAGGCTGTAAAAAGGTCTTAAAGGACTAGAAAGCATATTTAATGGCTGTAAAAAAGTCCAGAAAACTTTCTGTCTTTTCCAATTTATTTATTCATATTTAAACGACAGTGCATTTACTGCAGTTAAAGGGATGCAAAGATCTTAACTTGGTGTGAGTTGGGGTACCATAGGTCAAAAGAAGGTCTACGAAAGGGGTACCTTTTCTGTTAAAAATGGTACATAAAAGGGTAAGGGGTTGGACTTCGGAGCGGAGCCTCCCCATATAAACCATTGTTGAGTCACCTCCCCCCCCCCCCCCCCCCCCCCCCCCCCCCCCCACCCCCCCCCCCCCTTTTCCCCCCCCCCCACGCTTTTTTTTCTTTGCTCCACTCCCCTCTTGTTTTGTTCAACACTTTTTTTTTTATTTCTTTCATAATCCACAACATATATA